TTCACTCACCGATCTTCGTCTCTCGACGCAACTTCTTCGTCTGCGCCTTCGCTCACCTCCGGTGCCAGCACAGCTACGTCGCCATGTCTTCCGGTGCGTCCACTCCCATGCGTTGTTGGTTCCTTCGTTGCTAACTCGCGTCTTCCGTAGATAACGGCGCCTTCGCCGACCAAACATCCTCGCCCTGCTCTTCTCCTCGCTCTGCCAGGAGTGGCGGCCCTGCCATAGTGTCGACCGTCGAGCTCGCTGATCCTTCGCTGGACCTTGCTGGCGTGCGGGCCTCGTTGAGTACGTTGCAGCAGGCCATCGACCAGACCGAGGGACTGCGCGAGCGTCGTTCGGATCACGAGGTTCTGCGTCGCGAGTTTTTTGCTACGCGATGTCGCGCGGAGGATCTGGATCGTCAGCTTGCTGACGCGGCCGATGCCGCGTCGCCCTTCGTGGTCTTTTACCAACACAAGTATGAAGTAGTCCGTCACCAGCTGGAGTCTACTCGGACAGAGCTCGCCGAGTGCCTGAATGCGCTACAGGAACGTCTCGATAACTCCCGCGATCTCGAAGCTTGCCGCCTTCGGTATCACGACTTGCAGCTCCGCTACCGCGAAGCAGTGTCGGAGTTCCAAGATCGGATCTATCCTTTGGAGGCGCAGCTGGCCACCGCCTCTTCCTTTGGCGTGATTGTCCCACCTGACACAGCTTGTCGCATAGCGGATCTGGAGTCCCAGGTCCCGCGGTCCCAATCCGACTTGCGAGTCGCGCGTAATCGCCAGTCTTCTCTCTCTTCGGAGCGTTGTGAATCAGCTACGTCTCACAAGGCTGCTCAAGCGGAAGTAGATCGCCTCGAGGCCGCGATCGAGCGTATGACTTGTCGCTTCCGCACCTTGCGTGATAACTATGAGCGTCGCTTGAAGGTTGCCGACAACACGACCGCCACACATTCCGCCGAGCTTGATCGTTTGCAAGATCGGGTATCGACACTGGATCGGGATCTCCTGCAGGCTTCCCAGCGTGTCCGCGCGGCGATCTCTCAGCGCGATCAGGCTAGAGCGGAGCGTATCGCCACCCGTGAGTACTACCCGCATACCTTTGACGGCGTCGTACTAATTCGTATCTCCTGTCACAGAGGATCGTGTCTCAGCGGCTTGAGGTACTATCGCCCGGCTAGAAAGGCGGATTAATCAAGTCGAGTAGTCTCAGAAATCGCGTCAGGATCTCGAACTCGCGCTCGCCACGCTTTGGCAGGAGAGAGAGAGCCTGGTGGTCCAAAAAGATGAATTGCTTGGCCAGCTCGGCGAGCGTTTCATGGAGGTCACCGATCTACGGGCTGAGCGGGACCAGGCGCAAGAGAGATTGTTTAGTATCGCTTCTCTTCTCCCTTCTGCTTTGGGCCACAAACGAGCACGCTCCGAGTCTGATTCTCCAGCCCAGTCAGCTCGAGTTTCCAAGGCCGCTCGATCGACTTCAGGTCCTTTCCCGGCTGGCGCTTTGAGTCAGGGCCCTGCGTCCAGATCTTTGATCGTAGGATTGTCTGCTGTGGCTGCCGGCCAGAAATCTGAGGGGCCGGCATCGTCTCCTCCGTTTGCTGGCCCTCCTGATCATCTTCCTCGATCTGCTCGATCGACCGCCATGGGTGGCAGCGGGGGTGCTTCGTCTTCGCCTGCAGCTTCCGATGTTCCGATGGTGGCGAGAGCTCTTCCGGCATATCCAGTTCTACTCGTGGGAAGCGACAGTAGTTCTCCGGAGTTGAGTCGCGCTAAGGACCAGTTTGGAATGCCGTCCGGTCCTCTATCGGACGCTGAGCTGGCGGATCTACCGTCTACCACGGTTCCCCGGTCGGAGTGGATCCCCGGTTATCGTGACCGTCGTAACTTCCGCAGTCATGATATCGTCCCCTGGTCTGCGCAGGATATTCGTTAGACAAGCATCGTGGAAATGGACGCGGATCTGTTGTTTCACCACTACG